GATAAGTGTCAAAGAACTTGACTGGCCTGCACAGAGCCATGGCCTCTACCCCATCGAACACCTTTGGGATGAATTGGAACACCGACTGCAAGCCAGGCCTAATCGCCCAACATCAGTGCCCGACCTCACTAATGCTCTTGTGGCTAAATGGAAGCAAGTCCCCGCAGCAATGTTCCAACATCTAGTGGAAAGCCTTAACAGAAGAGTGGAGGCTGTTACAGCAGCAAAGGGGGGACCAATTCCATATTAATGCCCATGATTTTGGAATGAGATGTTCAACGAACAAGTGTCCACATCTTTACTTTTACTCAAGTACAATTAGGTACTTTTCCCACCACTGCTCGTTAGTAAGTCCTGTTATTTATAGGGAAACTCACAGAAGGCGGGGTCTAGCACCCGGGCTATGCCATTGGTTGAATGTAAGGAACAGTAAGGTCATAAGGGGGCCTGCTTACTATCGTCTAACATTCAGCAGACCATTCTGAGTCATAACAGGATGCTGAGCAGAGTGATCTGTTTGTCTTGTGAAAGGCTTGAAAGGGGCGCTGTCAGTTTCCCGATAACAATGGAATTTAGGCTTATGCATCTTTCCTGCAATGGCCGAAGATGTAACATGCATTTCCCAAAACACCACGCAGAGAGAACGTTTGCTGTGCATCCTTGAGGCATGTGTCGGTACTGATATAATTGAAAGGAAGCCAGAGCTGCTCTCGGATCAGTGTTCAGTTCAAATCTTACGTTAATATTATAATTATTTCACAATAGTGATGACGGATCAGCTCTTAGAGAGAAATGATCACCTATGGATGCAAATATTGAGGTGGCTTATTCTAACACTTACCCTATAATAATGCATCAAATCAAGATTTGGCACATCATTGCGCACGTTAGGCTACACGGAGTCACGGAGGCTCTCCGCACTGCTAAAGCTAACTCACTGTCCTCTGCTCTTATCCTTCTAGACCAATCTGCTGCCTTTGATACTGTGAACCATCAGATCCTCCTCTCCACTCTCTCCGAGTTGGGCATCTCCGGCGCTGCTCACTCTTGGATTGCGTCCTACCTAACAGGTCGCTCCTACCAGGTGGCGTGGCGAGAATCTGTCTCCCCCCCGTGCTCTCACCACTGGTGTCCCCCAGGGCTCAGTTCTAGGCCCTCTCCTATTCTCTCTATACACCAAGTCACTTGGCTCTGTCATATCCCCACATGGTCTCTCCTATCATTGCTACGCAGATGACACACAATTAAATTTCTCCTTTCCCCCTTCTGATAACCAGGTGGCGAATCGCATCTCTACATGTCTGGCAGACAAATCAGTGTGGATGTCGGATCACCACCTCAAGCTGAACCTCGGCAAGATGGAGCTGCTCTTCCTCCCGGGGAAGGACTGCCCGCTCCATGATCTCGCCATCACGGTTGACAACTCCATTGTGTCCTCCTCCCAGAGTGCAAAGAACCTTGGCGTGACCCTGGAGAACACCCTGTTGTTCTCAGGTAACATCAAAGCGGTGACCCGATCCTGCATGTTCATGCTCTACAACATTCACAGAGTACGACCCTACCTTACACAGAAAGCGGCACAGGTCCTAATCCAGGCACTTGTCATCTCCCGTCTGGATTACTGCAACTCGCTGTTGGCTGGGCTCCCTGCCTGTGCCATTAAACCCCTACAACTTATCCAGAACACTGCAGCCCGTCTGGTGTTCAACCTTCCCAAGTTCTCTCATGTCACCCCGCTCCTCCGCACACTCCACTGGCTTCCAGTTGAAGCTCGCATCTACTATAAAACCATGGTGCTTGCCTACGGAGCTGTGAGGGGAACGGCACCTCCTTACCTTCAGGCTCTGATCAGACCCTACACCCAAACGAGTACACTACGTTCATCCACCTCTGGCCTGCTAGCCCCCCTACCTCTACGGAAGCACAGTTCCCGCTCAGCCCAGTCAAAACTATTCGCTGCTCTGGCACCCCAATGGTGGAACAAGCTCCCCCACGACGCCAGGACAGCGGAGTCACTGACCACCTTCCGGAGACACTTGAAACCCTACCTCTTTAAGGAATACCTGGAATAGTATAAAAGTAATCCTTCTACCCCCCCTTCCTCCTCCCCCCCATAAAAAAAATGATTATTTATATTGGGTGGTGTTTCCACTAGCTATCCTAAGTTGAATGCACCAATTTGTAAGTCGCTCTGGATAAGAGCGGCTGCTAATGACTAAAATCTCAAATCTACACATCATGAAATATATTGAGGCAAAAAAATTGACAGAAGCCAAATAAAACTATGTTAAATTAACATGAAATTGATTCCAATATCATTGAGATATATAGGCCTATTAAGCCTATACTGTAGGTGGCCTATGTATCTTTTAATGCAGTCGTCTTGTTTTTCATTTGAAGCATCTTTTTATCCTTTTTTTGTTTGTAACAATTGCAAAGACCTTGGCAGCTTTGTACTTGTAGTCAACTTCGTTGTGAAGTTAACGGCAGCCACAGATGAACAACTTGATTCTATGTTCAGCGGAGATCGTCTGTGTATAAAGTGACACGGTAGGGAAAAAAAGCATCTGACGACACACTTAGCTGTTCTAGTGGTCTGAGGCAGTCAAATAAATAACGAGCGTTTTCAAGTGCAACTTTAGTAATGATGGTTTTGGGAAACAGCTCGGAGATTTAACAATGCTCCTACAAAGGTTCTAACGATGAACTTAGCCTTAAGATGCTTTTGGGAAAATGGGCCCTGAATGGCTCAGTTGGTAGAGCATGGTGCTTGCAACATCTGGATTGTGGGTTTAATTCCCGGGGCCACCCATTTTTGCATGCATGACTAAGTCACTTTGGATAAAAGCATCTGCTAAATACATATATTATTATTATTATTATTATTATTATTATTATTATTATTATTATTATTATAACTGATTGGGCCCTGTACCGATAGTCAGACAAAGCATCCTTATTTACCTATTCCTTCCTAGTCACTGATCTGTTTTATCAGCTCCCAGATGTATCTACCCTCCTGTTTCTCCCTCTTCCTCCCTGCCATGCACTGTAACAACAACCTGCTCTGAGTGAATGCGGTCAGGAACACGCCCTCCCCTTGAAAGGACCCAGTTGATCATCAACTAGATTCAGCCGGGGGACGATTTTTTTCTTGAGCGGATGGTTCGGGGTGCCGGAACATAATTACAAATAATTTGTAGACTGCAAATTGACCGCAAGAAGCCCAAACAGAATATTTGACTGAAACATAATCATTTCAAACCTTGCTTACATTTGTATACGATCGTGTGTCTCTCTATTATGCATGGGAATACTTGGGAACAGATTTCCAAAATGATAATCATTTGGAGCTGATTTCCTGGTGTTTTTATAGTCTTATGTCCAACAATAAAAATTGTGGAACCCTGATCTACACCATGAGCTACACCTGCTGTGACTATAATTACTGGTGATTTTTTATGGTATAGCTAATTTTGACTTTGTGGCTGTGATAACTAGTGGATACCATAATTACTGTAACGCCTGTCACAGTGTTGCAGTTAATTCGGTCCCCGTTGTGGTGGCAATGATGGTTTTGGCTATGTTGTTGACCAGGCTATAACGCTCAAGTCTACTTTAAGGTCATGTAATTTTAGATTGCTAGGCTTACTGGTTTTTTATAGAGGACGTGAGGACTACTATGATTTGTTGGTTGAATGGTTCATTATCTACAGACCCATACATTGTCTAACCAAACTGAGGTGTGCACCAAACTGAAGCCAACATGTTTTACCAAATATAATGGGAGAGCATGCATTTTAAAGCGAATGTTTTATTTATTTTTATTTTTATGATTGTGAAATAATGTTTTATACACTGAATGGACTACATGTTAGCGCTTGTTTTGAAGCCTTTTGTTTAATCAGCAATGTCTCCTTTTGACATTATGTGGGTATAAAGTTGTTTTATAAATCTATTAACACACTCTCACACACACATACTGTACCAAGCAGCTATCTGAGGTTTGGACAGTTCTTTATTTCCCTTTTATAAGGCTGCTGGGTCTCCCCATAGTGGATATACATATACTGTATGTACAGGAGATTGCTATAATGGAGTTACACTGAGAGAGAGGGCTGGGAGAGGGTCCACATTACACTTCAAAAAACAACACTGATGGAGCCTCATCTCCGGGGAGCAGAAATCAGCAGAGAGAAAGAGAGGGATGGGGTAACAGCACGAGAGAATGGGGGAGGGAGGGGGGGGGGGGGGGGGAGATGGGGGAGAAGTTGCAGCCGAGAGCCTTGAGAGGCTGGATGACTGCCTAATAACTTATCACTAGAAAATAACATACAGATTTCACGCACAGTGCATCTTTAAATAGGTTACGTGGAGAACCGCTTACCATAAATATCTGTATTTTCGGGAACCAACATATATAAAAATAATAAAATAAAATAAAAAATCATTGTTCAGTCTTTAATTATTTTTTTATATTTTCTGTCTTTTATTCCCCCCTTTTTCAATTCGTTCCTTCCTTCCTTCCTTCCGTCTGCCTCGGAGGCAGAGTTTCGTTCATCCATCAGTCCCTCATCCGATAAACGAGAAAAAAAAACTAATCCAACCAAAAATAGCGCAATATGAATTAGTAAAAAACGAATGAACGAATGAACGGAACACGACCACAGTCAACTCATCACGAAAAGAACACACACACACACACACACTGAACAGAACAGCAAGAACACGGTACTCTTTTTAGCATCCTTATCACTGTTTTGATCCTCATCCTCCTCCTCAGGTACTTGTGCGAAGCAGAGGAATCTTCCTCCCTCTCGCAGCTCAGCTGATCTTGGAGGCATCCAGCTAGCCCAGTTCCCTGGCATAGAGTTGGAAAGAGGGCTCACCCCCTATCTTTGCCATTATCACTTCTGTGACAGTGTGCCCTCTATCCAACTCTATGCTCTCTGGTCATTAGTGATTTCTCAGAATAACTTCACAGTGTGGTAGTAGTAAGACTAGGAGGTGGGTAGGATGGGGTGACAGGGGGAAAGCCAGGGGGTAGTATCATCATCATCGTATCGCAACTGGAACAGGGAATCATCATATCATAATAACCATGTACAGCAATGATTAGAAAACAACTAGAAACCCAAAAGTCCATGGAAGGTCAACAAAATGGTCGCCTTTGTTCCTTCACGTCTCCTTCCTTCCCATCACATGGGGGTGGGGAAGGCTTCTGATTGGCAGCGTAAACTGATGGGATGTCTAGCAGAGTGGGGATTGGAAGGTTGGAGAAGGAGGGGGTGTGGTCCAAGGCTGACTGGAATCCATTGGCTGGTGGGTGGGACTCGACAGGGCGATATGTCATCAGGAGAAAGGAATGTGGTTGGTTGGTAGGTCATATGTGTGATTGACAGGTCATAGGACGAATCCTGTTCTGAGAGGTTAGGCACGCTGTTGTGGCAGTGCCCGCCTCTTCCGGCTGTAGTAGTGGCGTAGGCCGGTCTGTCTGGCAAAATTCATCATGTAGTTTTGTTTACGAGTGCTGTAGGGAGACAAAGACAGTGAGAGAGAGAGGAGAGAGAGAGAGTGGGAAGAAGAGAGGAAGAGAGGACGGAGACCATTAGTGACCAGGAAAAGGTATTTAAAGTATCTACACACTCACTCATGCAGACACCCTCTTACATGCACACACATACACTCTCATATGCAAGCTCACACACTCCTAGATCTATGCTGGCATTTTCAGTTGGGTTTCACCCATAACCTCAAACACTCGATTAAGCAGAAGGTGGACTGTTTCTTTAAGATGTGCATTACTTATTGAATATTGAAATGTGTATGTATTGAAATGTGTATGTTGGCCATCAGCTTATAGGTGAACAATATTGTATGTATTGACATGTTCTCAATGGCAGTATCATAAGCAGACAGTTCAACAGTACGAGACATTGAACGACACAAAACTAGAGGACACAAGACTAGCTAGAGAGCTATAGACACGGTCACAGACGTTAGCTACAGATGTGGTCGGGGTTCTGGGGTTTTCTAACTCTGACCATGGTTCTAAGGATCAAAGGAAGGAGAGTGTTTGAGGTCAGAGTTTGTTGAGTAACAGCCATCATATCACTTGGAAAAACAAACCAAAGTAATAAAGGTGCAGGGGAGTGAGGGAGGAGGAGGGGGGGAGGGGAGGGGGGGAAGGGAGGGAGGAGGTACATTGAAAGAGAAGCTAAATAGACACAAAAAGAAGCTGTGACTGAAGATCGCGCTTCTTGCTTAGCCTGTCATTGCCTCTTCTGTCCAGCAGGAGGCGCCAGTGAGCCCGAAGTGCAGCCAGTGGCCTCTGCAAAGCTGGGGGAAAGTCGGGAGGTGTGTGGTGGAGGGGTGTGGTGGAAGGTCGGAGGGTGTCAGAAAGGGGGAAGGGGGCGAGTTGCTTCTGTTTTTTCTCTTTTTTTCTCCTTAACAAAAGCGAGGGACAGTATGGCAGGAGCTCCAAACTCAGAGGATGTTGTGTTCCATGGACCGGCAGCCATGGAGGGTGGGGGAGCTTTGCAACGGTGGATTTAAAAAGCCATGCAAGGACTTGGATGGAGGAGGTTACTCTGATGACGATGATGATCGGGGCTGATGAGTTTTAGGTCTTTAGTGGTGTGTAGGCTATGTCTGATGATCTGAAGTTATACCATTATGCTCTATGTTCTAGTGTGACTCATAATAATAATAATAATATACCATTTAGCAGACGCTTTTATCCAAAGCGACTTACAGTCATGCGTGCATACTCATGTTTGTGTGTTGGGTTTAATTAATGTAATGATGTTAGATATTCAGGTTAGAATGAAGAGGTAAGTGTGGTACCCATATTAGAGTGCCTGAACTGTGTAACTTGTTTGTGGCAGTGTCATCCTCAGAATGTGCTACATGTCTAGGATCTGCACACATGTAACCACATTAAACAAAAGCCAGACTTAAAACACAATGGCTGCAATAGCTCAACAGACATTGATATAGTTATGCATCACATCACACAAATACATATAAAAGTGATGCCATTGAGATTTATGTACTGTATATGTTAAGCAGACCAATTGAGATCTACAGAAAAGCTATATTTTATTACACTTTGAGAGACCTGCTTCCTCAAATTTGTCTGTATTGTCTGAACTGTAGCTCTGTCTGTACCTGGGTTGTAGCTGAGCCTGCACCTGGGTTATGACAGTGGGTGTCCTGTGCCTCGGTTGGGTGGGGGGGGGTTAAGGTGAAGGAGGTGATGACAGAAAAGGGGGTCAGGGGTGTAGCTGAAGGGTGAGGGGGGTGTCACAGGAGGGGAGAGGCGGAAGACTTACCTGACTCTACAGCCATGCCACAGGGAGCAGAATACAGAAGAGAGCAGAGGTTAGAGCGCGAGAGGGGAGGAGGAGGTGGAGAGGGGTGCTGCTGGCTCGCAGAAAGGTCTGGGGGGGCAGGAACCCCGGCCGCCTGGGGAGGCGAAGGGGGCCAGAGAGGAGGGGGAGGTGGAGAAAGAAAGAGGGAGCAGGAAGTATGCAGAGAGTCAGAGACAGAACGCGAGAGATCGCGATACAGAAAAGGATACAGAGAGAGGTAGAGCAAGAGAGACGAGAAAGGAGTGAGAGAGAGAAGCAAAAGAGACCAAGGACGTAGAGAGAAAGAGAGAGCGATAGAGACAATAACAGATGGAAATGGAGGAGGGAAAGAGAAAGCGCCGACCAATCCGTCCATTATACACCAGAGAGAACAAGAGAGGGAGTCATAGGGAAGAAAGGGATATTGGAAGGAGGAGATGGAAGCCATGATAAGACATGAGGTAGCAGAAGAGCATAAGCGCAGGCAGAGGAAGAAGCATAGGAAGAGGAAGAGGTCGAGGAGGAGGAGGAAAAGGAGTAGTATGGTCACGCATGTTAGTGTTTGTGAGGCCAGGGAGGAGAGGCACGGATGACAAAAGAAACAATTGAAAAGGAGGAGAGGAGGGGTGGTGGTGGAACAGAGACAGAAATAAAAAGAGAGAAGTGTGAGGATCGCGTACGGTTATTCTGTTCAGCAGACACTGTTGTTGAATGTTGAAAACCAACCATGGGAGTGAGAGAGGAGGAGTGGAGGAGGGCAGGTCAAGGCCACACGAAACCAGGGACAGCTCATGTAAGGACTGTGTGTATTGTGTACTGTATGTGTGTGCTTTGCTGTGACGTAAGACAGAAATCCTGTAAACCTAAATACTGCATATTTGTACTATATTGGGTATCTGTTGTTTGCCAATTGATGACACCAGCATTGACAGGACCAACTTAGTGTACAACATAAAAATAACTATGGTTGGTGGACATTTGCAATGCATTGGCCACTTAATGACATTCAATAACATCTTATGCAGCCTGGTCTCATAGACTAGACGTTACATAGTAAAAGCAAATCCGACACTCAAATAAGTATGATATGTTACGTTTGGTATGGTTACATAAGACAGAAGGTTACTTATGGCAAAAACAAAAGTAGGGTGGTTGGACGGAGTGGATGGGTAGCCGTATAACGCGAAAGTCTAGCAACCCAAAGGTTGCGTGTTCGAATCTCATCACGGACAATTTTAGCTAATTAGCAACTACTTACTACTTTTTAGTTACTTTGCAACTACTTAGCTAACCCTTCCTCTAACCTTAACCTTCACCTTTTACCCTAACTCCTAACCCTAACACTAACCTTAACCCTAACCACCTAGCTAATGTTATCCACAACAAATGGGAATTCATAACATTTCATACATTTTGCAAATTCTTAACATATTGTAATTCATAACTTTTGTTTGAATTGCAATTCGTAACATATCACATGAATTACACTGAGTGTACAAAACATTAGGAACATGACATAGACTGACCAGTTGAATCCAGGTGAAAGCTATGATCCCTTATTGATGTCACCTGTTAAATCCCCTTCAATCAGTGTAGATGAAGGGGAGGAGACAGGTTAAAAAAGAATTTTTAAGCCTTGAGACAATTGAGACATGGATTGTGTATGTGTGCCATTCAGAGGGTGAATGGGCAAGACAAAAGATTTAAGTGCCTTTGAACGAGGTATGGTAGTAGGTGCCAGGTGCACCGGTTTGAGTGTGTCGAGAACTGCAACGCTGCTGGGGTTTTCACGCTCAACAGTTTCCTGTGTGTATCAAGAATGGTCCACCACCTAAAGGACATCAAGCCAACTTGACACAACTGTGAGAAGCATTGGAGTCAACATGAGCCAGCATCCCTGTGGAAAGCTTTCGACACCTTGTAGAGTCCATGCCCAGACAAATTGAGGCTGTTCTGAGGGCAAAAGGAGGTGCAACTCAATATTAGGAAAGTGTTCCTAATGTTTTGTACACTCAGTGTATAATTCGTAACATATCATACAACATATCATACTAATTGGAATGTCTCGGATGTACATTGCTATGTCTACCCCTGAGTCCATGTTCTTATGTTATAATGTGAAGCCCTCAGTAACATGCAAAATGCATTTGAAATGCTCTATGCCTCTGTCATATAAATGGTATGTAGGCTAGATGTAGATTGTGTGTGCGTTTAGTATGCTTTATATGGTCTCACACACTGTTCAAAGAGACCACAGTCAATGTGATGCTTGATGCACTAACCACTAACCTTTGTCACAACATCCATCTGAAACCTGCTTCAGGATAAGTGGCTGAGTTTTCCGTGCTGTTGAGCACACACTGTGGGTGTGCATGTATGTGTGACTGTAAGCTTTTTACTTGCTGTGGAGCAGGTGTGTCTGTCAGTTTGTGTGAAGAGAGAGGGGGCATTTTGGGGCAGTTAGCTGCAGGGGCAGATTGAGCCTAAGTACGGGGCGGTTTGGAAAACAGTCTGGGGGACCATTTGGGGAATGAGGAACCAGGGGGTACCAGGATGGTTGGAGATACTCACAGAACTACTTCCACATGGTCCAGCGCCCACTGGTCATGTCCCACACCGTCGTGACGCGGCTGCCACCACCGCAGCTCCACCCCTTTAACCCTTGCCTCTCTGTGGAAGTTAGAGGTCAGAGATTAAGAGTGGGCTATCAGTGTGGGTCGTTCTCAATTAATCTTTCCTTGATCACCCATGTCCTCTCTACCCAGCTAAAAACAAATGTTCCCACAACTTTAGAGAACGTTCCCTTAAGAGTCTTATTAGGTCATACCTAACATTTTCATAGGAATGTTCCAGTGACGTGCAAGGACTGTTTCCAAGAGACCATTCCCTTAATGTCAAACATAAATTACCCAGAACGTGGTTACCATGTTCTCAGAAAAGTCAATATTAATGTTCTAGACACGTTTAATGGGAACTTTGCAAGAACGTTTGTGTCCAGTTTTCTAAGGGTTAGAAGAATTTTCCATCAACGTCCCACCAAACATACACAGAACATGGTTGCCATCTTCTCAAAATATATGAATGTTCTAGACACGTTTCATCGGAACGTTGCAAGAACATTCATGTGTCCGGTTTTCAGATGGTTAGGAGAATATTCCACCAATGGCCCACCAAACATACACAGAACATGGTTGGCATATTATCAGAATATAAGATATTAATGTTCTAGACATGTTTCATGGGAACGTTGCATGAACATTCATGTGTCCAGTTTTCTGTGGGTTCAGAGAATATTCCATCAACGTCCCATCAAATATACACAGAACATGGTTGCCATGTTCTCAGAATATAAGATATTAATGTTCTAGACACGTTTCATGGGAATGTTGCAATAACATTGTTGTGTATCAGTCGTCAGGATGTCGCCTGATGGTGCCAAAGAAATGTATTATTTTTTATTTCGGAAAGTATTCAGACCCCATCCCTTTTTTCACATTTTGTTACGTTACAGCCTTATTCTAAAATTGATTGAATTAAACGTTTTCCTCATCAATCTTCAGTGGCAGGGACTGGGAGACTAGTCAGGATCGATGAAAAGATGAACGAAGCAAAGTACAGCGAGATCCTTGATGAAAACTTGCTCCAGAGTGCTCAGGACCTCAAACTGGGGCGAAGGTTCACCTTCCAACAGGACAACAGCCCTAAGCACACAGCCAAGACAACGCAGGAGTGGCTGTGGGACAATTCTCTGAATGTCATTGAGTGGCCCAGCCAGAGCCCGGACTTGAACCCGATCTAACATCTCTGGAGAGACCTGAAAATAGCTGTGCAGCGACGCTCCCCATCCAACCTGACAGAGCTTGAGAGGATCTGCAGAGAAGAATGGGAGAAACTCCCCCCAAAAAAGGTGTGCCAAGCTTGTAGCGTAATACCCAAGAAGACTCCAGGCTGTAATCGCTGCCAAAGGTGCTTCAACAAAGTACTGAGTAAAGGGTCTGAATACTTTTGTAAATGTGATATTTCATTATTTTAAAAAGATACAATTTAGAAGGGAAAAAAATGGTTTTTGCTTTGTCATTATGGGGTATTGTGTGTAGATTGATGACGGAAAAATAATCATTTAATCAATTTTAGAATAAGGTTGTAACGTAACAAAATGTTGAAAAAGTCAAGGGGTCTGAATACTTTCCGAATGCACTGTACATCACCCCTTGTTATTGTGGCCCATCAAGGATCCAATTGGTGAACTACTGATCCATTCACAGCTCTTTGTGGGCAAGGTTAGGGACACTCACACAAACAATGCTTTTAACTTAGTGTTTTAAACGTACATGATTACATTGTGCATGTTCATTTATACAGTAATTATTATTCAACATGTCCTCCCTTGGGATTTGCACTCACAACCTCTTGGTTCATGGCATTCTGATATTCCTGCTACGCCACCATGTCTGTGTCAGTTAACAGTTAATCTGACTATTTATTGATTTGATTGATTATTTTAGCAATTTTAAGGCTTTTTGTATAGTCGTCTAATGTTACTCCTGAATCACTATGGTCAATAAAATTGTTTTTCTTGACTGTGCTTTTAACAGAGCTGATATTTACAGTGAGGGAAAAAAGTATTTGATCCCCTGCTGATTTTGTACGTTTGCCCACTGACAAAGACATGATCAGTCTATAATTTTAATGGTAGGTTTATTTGAACAGTGAGAGACAGAAAAACGCATGTCAAAAATGTTATAAATTGATTAGCATTTTAATGAGGGAAATAAGTATTTGACCCCTCTGCAAAACATGACTTAGTACTTGGTGGCAAAACCCTTGTAAGCAATCACAGAGGTCAGATGTTTCTTGTAGTTGGCCACCAGGTTTGCACACTTCTCAGGAGGGATTTTGTTCCACTTCTCTTTGCAGATCTTCTCCAAGTCATTAAGGTTTCGATGCTGACGTTTGGCAACTCGAACCTTCAGCTCCCTCCACAGATGTTCTATGGGATTAAGGTCTGGAGACTTGCTAGGCCACTCCAGGACCTTAATGTGCTCTTCTTGAGCCACTCCTTTGCTGCCTTGGCCATGTGTTTTGGGCCATTGTCATGCTGGAATACCCATCCACGACCCATTTTCAATGCCCTGGCTGAGGGAAGGAGGTTCTCACTCAAGATTTTACGGTACATGGCCCTGTCCATCGTCCCTTTGATGCGGTGAAGTTGTCCTGTCCCCTTAGCAGAAAAACACCCCCAAAGCATAATGTTTCCACTTCCATGTTTGACGGTGGGGATGGTGTTCTTGGGGTCATAGGCAGCATTCCTCCTCCTCCAAATACGGCGAGTTGAGTTGATGCCAAAGAGCTCCATTTTGGTGTCATCTGACCACAGCACTTTCACCCAGTTCTCCTCTGAATCATTCAGATGTTCATTGGCAAACTTCAGACGGCCCTGTATATGTGCTTTCTTGAGCAGGGGGACCTTGCGGGCGCTGCAGGATTTCAGTCCTTCACGGCATAGTGTGTTACCAATTGTTTTCTTGGTGACTATGGTCCCAGCTGCCTTGAGATCATTGACAAGATCCTCCCGTGTAGTTCTTGGCTGATTCCTCACCATTCTCATGATCATTGCAACTCCACGAGGTGAGATCTTGCATGGAGCCCCAGGCCGAGGGAGATTGACAGTCTTTTGTGTTTCTTCCATTTGCGAATAATCGCACCAACTGTTGTCACCTTCTCACCAAGCTTCTTGGCGATGGTCTTGTAGCCCATTCCAGCCCTGTGTAGGTCTACAATCTTGTCCCTGACATCCTTGGAGAGCTCTTTGGTCTTGGCCATGGTGGAGAGTTTGGAATCTGATTGATTGATTGCTTCTGTGGACAGGTGTCTTTTATACAGGTAATAATAATATTATAATAATATGCCATTTAGCAGACGCTTTTATCCAAAGCGACTTACAGTCATGCGTGCATACATTTTTGTGTATGGGTGGTCCCGGGGATCGAACCCACTACCTTGGCGTTACAAGCGCCGTGCTCTACCAGTTGAGCCAGTTGAGCTAGAGGACAAACTGAGATTAGCAGCACTCCCTTTAAGATTGTGCTCCTAATCTCAGCTCGTTACCTGTATAAAAGACACCTGGGAGCCAGAAATCTTTCTGATTGAGAGGGGGTCAAATACTTATTTCCTTCATTAAAATGCAAATTAATTTATAACATTTTTGACATGCGTTTTTCTGGATTTTGTTGTTGTTATTCTGTCTCTAACTGTTCAAATAAATCTACCATTAAAATTATAGACTGATAATTTCTTTGTCAGTGGGCAAACGTACAAAATCAGCAGGGGATCAAATACTTTTTTCCCTCACTATACATCAAAGTGCATTGACCCTATTGTTAACACTTAATCCATTTGTTTCAGATATACACAAGTACCTAAGAAGTAATTTCTGGACAGGGCCTAACTATACTGGTCCAATAAGCACATGCCCTTGGGATATCCCTTATTGGGACAGTGGTTAGGGTGTTTGTCATTGGTGCTGGTGGCCTGGGTTCGAGACCCGTTAGGGGAGTCCCACCTACTCTCACATTCTTAGCAATATATGTTAACGCTATTATTTGGCAACAGTTACAACATCCCTAACTGATCAATACTGAACAAAAATATAAACGCCACATGCAAAAATCTAAATGATTTTACTGAGTTACAGTTCATATAAGGAAATCAGACAATTGAAATAAATTAATTAGGCCCTCAACTATGAATTTCACATGAATGGGAAGGGGCGCAGCCATGGGTGGGCCTGGGAGGGAATAGGCCCATCCACTTAGGAGCCAGGCCCAGCCAATCAGAATGAGTTCTTCCCCACAAAAGGGCTTTACTACAGACAGAAATACTCCTCATCAGTTTCATCAGCTGTCCGGGTGGTTGGTCTCAGACTACCCCGCAGGTGAAGAAGCCAGATGTGGAGGTCCTGGGCTGGCATGGTTACATGTGGTCTGCGGTTGTGAGGCTGGTTGGACGTACTGGCAAATTATCTAAAACGACGGTGTAGGCGGTTTATGGTAGAGAAATTAACAATAAATTCTCTGGCAACAGCTCTGATGGACATTCCTGCAGTCAGCATTCCAATTGCACTTTCCCTCAAAACTTGAGACATCAGTGGCATTGTGTTGTGTGACAAAACTGCACATTTTAGAGTGGCCTCTTATTGTCCCCAGCACAAGGTGCACCTGTGTAATGATCATGCTGTTTAATCAGCTTCTTGATATGCCACAACTGTCAGGTGGATGGATTATCTTGGCAAAGGAGAAATGCTCACTAACAGGGATGTAAACAAATTTGTTCACAAAATTGGAGAGAAAAAAGCTTTTTGAGCATATGGATAATTTCTGGGATCTTTCATTTCAGCTCATGAAACATGGGACCAACACTTTACATGTTTTTCAGTATAATTAAAATCAGTTGCTCATTGAAAGATGGGAATCTGTAGGATTACCCGTTGAGCAGAAATGATGACCACATTTCCACTACCTCTCATAAATTATCAGTATTTATTAATTCTATATAGCTGAGCATCTCTCCATCGTCTTCTTGAAATGCATTTTGAAGTACATTTCAGGTCTGTTAAAATTACACTCAAGGAAAACAATTGTATGGATTATAGTGATTCAGGAGTAACATTAAAACTGGGTAAAATGCCTCACCAACATTAGACCATTACACAGAAAGCCCTAAAATTGCTGAAATTAGTAAATAAAATCAATGATGAGAGAATAGTCTGATTAACTGATAACTGACAACTGACACAGACATTGTGCCATTGTAGAAAGATTGTACTGTCGTGAACCAAGAGGTTGTGAGTTCAAATCCCAAGTGAGGACATGCTGTATAATAATTACTGTATAATTACTGTTCCTAACCTTGCCAACATACAAAGAGCTGTGAATGGATCAGTGGTTCATCAATCAGGGCCTTGATGGGCTCGGCAACAGTAACAAGGCGTGATGTGTAATGACAACATTTCTTTGGGACCATCAGGTGACTTCCTGACAACTGATACACAGAAATGTTGCTGCAACGTTCCCATGAAACGTGTGTCTAGAACATTTATATAGTGTAGGTTTGATGGGACGTAGATGGAATTTTGTCCTAACCCTCAGAAAACTGGACACAGGAATGTTCTTGAAACGTTCCAATGAAACGTGTCTAGAACATTAATATTGTATATTCTGAGAACATGGCAACCACGTTTCTGAGTAAGTTCTGTTTGACATTTAGGGAATTTTCTCCTAACGCCAAAACATGCGAAATAGGTTCTCAGGAGGTTTTGGCTAACATATATAGAATGTTCCCTCCCGTAAGTAACGGAAATCTGGACACTCCGGGGAACATTACAAAAACGTTCTCTCCCCTAAGAATTGTTAGCTGGGTACTCGTCTCCTCAACAATCATTGGAGGAGCAGGTCTGATGGAAGGACCCTTGGATGTTCTCATCCAATGTGTTTTGAAGAAGAAGTTGAGGGGCGAGGACATAAGGAATCACAGAAGGATGAACTGAGAAAGAGCCTGTGTGTTGGTATTAATGAGTGTTTAGACAATTTACATCTAAATGAAATCAAGCTTTATTGGAAGGAAAAACATCTCTGTGTGTATAGGTTCACTCACAGTGGGATGTTGTAGGACACTCTCTGGGCCTTGATGAAGTCTTTGGGCTGGTGCTGGGCGATCACGTGCCAGCTCACTCCATTATTGACAGTGTATTGTAGCAGCACAGCCCTGTCCACTGTGTCAGGCTGGTCCAGGGCAGTGTTACAACTGTCTGTCTGGGACACACTACCTATCTGCAGGACGAACATGATCTTACTGTGGGGGGGGGGGGGGGGGGGGGGGGGGGGGGGGGGGAGAGAGAGATAAGAGATGGTAAGATTGCCTTGGTATTTTTGTCCTACCAAGTTTAGGCTCCAAGTTTTCCATCTTAGTCCTACTCTATATTGACTTCTTAGTGGCCTCAGTAGTGGGCGTGGCTAGGATAAGCTAGGCTGGGCTATGCTAAGCTAGGATGAGCTAGAATAGGCTATGCTATGGTAGGCTATGCTAGAATAGGCTAGGTTTCATGCCATTGGGGGCACAGGGGCATGTGCCCCCTCAGATTTGTGCTGTACGTTTAAAAAAAATCTGTAATACTACTTGCCACAGCAATTTTATGAAGTTGGCTTTAGCTAGCCCAGATAGGTTCCCAATCTCCCAACCTCATAACTAGCTACCAAGAAGACATTTCAGGCTATCAATCAAGTTAGAGTAGCAAGCTTGTCTAACTATCTTAGCTGGAATGCCTGCTGACAAGGCTGGTAGACTTTAGTAAAGCAAGCAATAACTAAATGTACTGAATAAGACTCACATTCCTTTCAATCTTTTACCCAGATTTTAGCAGAGATGGAGAGAAGCATATTTGGTTTCTTTAAAAAAAGAACCACTAATCAGGAGGATGCAGACAGTTCAAGAGGTATGCTTAGATATGTAGAAAAATAAACAAATTTTTCACATAGAACGAAGCATAATGATTATGGCTCTAGATTGCAGGAAAAAGCTGCTTCAGGTGTTTGAAAAATACAAAATCCTCCACCCCCCAGCCATCCTCACGTACTATGTGCCCCCTCAGATTTTTAGGGTGCATGATGCCGCTGTTCAGTAGCTGTCTCATGTGAGATCCAGAGGCTTGGTGACCGCCTGCCTCATTTTACAGCTACTGTATTGTATAATCTTCTACTGTACTGTATCATGAGCATCTCTCACTGTCCCTTTAGTAGTTGGCGAGGCGAGGCTAATACAGTACAATCCATTGTCCAGCCCTACCTGGCTCGTGTCAGGTCGAGTGGCTTGGTGACAGCCTGCCTCATCTTACAGCCGTTGAAGTAGAGCGAGTCACCGTGGGCGTGGGGAGAGAGCTGGCCACACCCACTTCCCACCCCGCCACCCTGGATGAGTTGCCAGCTCTCCTCTGACATGCTGCCTGACTCAAAGTTATCCTTTATGGAGCTGGGCAGGTCACTGCTGGACAGAGAGCAGTCATCACCTGGGAGATGGAGGAGAGAAAGGAAGGGTGGTTAGTTTAGATTGTGGTGCTGCAGAGTTGGGGTCCATTAGAAATTATAATATATTTGATTGAAAAGAAAATGAGGAATTTAAGTTTACTTCCATAATTGACTGAATTGAAATGGAATTGACCCCAACCGTGTGGCGCTGATACCTTTTAGATGAAAGACAGTATGAACACTCCTAACATTTGAATGCATAAAGAATAAAGTTTAACCAATATTAATGCTAGCTGTCAGTCTTACTTAAAGGGAACATTGTACTGGCCCCTATGGTTAGTGTTAGTGTGGTACTCAGTCAGACCCACCATGGTGTCCCTCGTCACAGATACAGACCACTCCGCTAGTACAGTAACCATGACCACTACACAGCCCTGGGCACGCCTCCCCAATGTACATGTGGTCCACCCCCCAACCGTGACGCTCGCCAGCGCCCTCCTTCTGGATCCAACGGAACTGCGTGGCACTGCAGGAGAAGGGTGAGTGTGTGTGAGAGAAAAAGAGTTAGAGAGCTGTGACAAGAAAGAGGGGAACTGAGTGTGATACCCTTTACAGACATTTCCCTTTATAGAAGCTCTTCGATAACAGCTTTGATCACCCTTCAGACACAGAAATAAAATGCTGGTTCAGAAGCTTCTCTACCCTTTCAGAGAACTGTTCTGCTCCTGCATGGAATGCTCACATTTAGTTACCCACAACAAACATCATTAGCTAGTTTGTTACCTTGCTAGCTTAGTGAGTGGCAAAACGCTAATTTGCAAAAGCAGTCCTACCCTGAGGAGACGTGGTCAGGCAGCTGGACAGTGACTCTGGTCCAGGTAGAGCTGTTGACAGGACTGTAGATGGTGGACTCATGGAACATGAAGGGAGAGCAGCCGACATTGTTCACAGAGGAGGGAAGACACTCTGACTGGACCAGCTGCCATGAGTCAGACCTGGAGAGAAGAGAAGGTGGAGAGAGAAATAAGAAAGAGGATTGTATTGTAAATTGCTCTAATCCTTCAATGTTGGAGGGGTGCCCTCCACCAATGGCTGTCTCCAGCTCTCGCCATAGCTTATGGATGTGATTCAGATCTGGACTCTTGCTGACCACTCCAGAACAGTCCAGGATCTTTTCATGAACCATTCCTGGGTGCTTTTAGATGTGTGTTTGGGGTCATTGTCCTGCTGGAAGATCCACAATGTTTAGTGGAGAGACAGTTTTTGGACACGGAGTTGATCATTAGACTCAAAAAAACCTCATCATCTGCTGATATCATGATGCCTTGCGCATGTTCAAGGCCTCCAGTACCAAAGGCAGCAAAGCAACCCCACAGCATTATCAAACCTCCCCCATAGCTGATTTGTAATGCCAAATAACTCTAATTTTGTTTAATTGGTCCACAGAACATTTTCCCCAGGATTTAGGCTTGTTTAGGTGAGTTTTTGAGAAGTTCTCTCACACACTTTTTCACTCATCATTTGCTGCTGCTACTCTGTTTTTTATTTTACACTTATTATTATCTTTGCTGATGCCTAATCAGTTTACCCTGCTTTCATGTACGTACAGTGCATTCGGATAGTATTTAGACCCCTTCCCTTTTTCCACATTTTGTTACGTTACAGCTTTATTCTAAAATGAATTAAAATATTTTTTCTCCTCATCAATCTACTGTACTGACTACCCCATAATGACAGGTTTTTAGATTTTTTTGCAAATTTATAAAAAAAACTACTGAAATATCAAATTTACATAAGTATTCAGACCCTTTACTCAGTCTTTGTTGAAGCACCTTTGGCAGTGATTACAGCCTCAAGTTTTCTTGGGTTTGACGCTACAAGCATGGCACACCTATTTTTGCGGAGGTTCTCCCATTCTTCTCTGCAGATCTTCTCAAGCTCTGTAAGGTTGGAAGGGGAGTGTCGCTGCACAGCTATTTTCAGGTCTCTTCAGAGATATTCAATCAGGTTCAAGTCCGGGCTCTGGCCGGGCCACTAAAGGACATTCAGAGACTTGTCCCGAAGCCACTCCTGCGTTGTCTTGGCTGTGTGCTTAGGGTCGTTGTCCTGTTGGAAGGTGAACCTTTGCCCCAGTCTGAGGTCCTGAGCGCTCTGGAGCAGGTTTTCATCAAGGTTCTTTCTGTACTTTGCTCTATTTATCTTTCCCTCGATCTTGTCTAGTCTCCCAGTCCCTGCCGCTGAAAAACATCCCCACAGCATGATGCTGCCACCACTAAGCTTCACCGTAGGGATGACTCCAGGTTTCCTCCAGACGTGATGCATGGCATTCAGGCCAAAGAGTTCAATCTTGGTTTCAACAGACCAGAGAATGTTGTTTTTCATGGTCTGAGAGTCCTTTAGGTGCCTTTTGGCAAACTGTCTTGTGCCTTTTACGGAAGAGTGGCTTCCGTCTGGCCACTCTACCATAAAGGCCTGATTGGTGGAATGCTGCAGAGATGGTTGTCCTTCTGGAAGGTTCTCCCATCTCAACAGAGGACCTCTCGAGCTCTGTCAGAGTGACCATTGGATTCTTGGTCACCTCCCTGACCAAGGCCCTTCTCCCCCGATTGCTCAGTTTGGCCGGGTGGCCAGCTCTAGGAAGATTCTTGGTGGTTCCAATCTTCATTTAAGAATGGAGGCCACTGTGTTCTTGGGTACCTTCAATGCTGCAGACATTTTTTGGTACCCTTCCCCAGATCTGTGTATCGACACAATCCTGTCTCGGAGCTCTACGGACAATTCCTTCGACCTCATGGCTTGGTTTTTGCTCTGACATGCACTGTCAACTGTGGGACCTTATATAGACAGGTGTGTGCCTCTCCAACACATGCCCAATCAATTGAATTTACCACAGGTGGACTCCAATCAAGTTGTAGAAATGTCTCAAGGATGAACAATGGAAACAGGATGGACCTGAGCTCAATTTTGAGTCTCATAGCAAAGGGTCTGAATACTTATGTAAATAAGGTATCAGTTTTTTATTTTTAATACATTTGCAAAAAAATTCTAAAAACCTGTTTTCACTTTGCCTTTATGGGGTATTGTGTGTAGATTGATGAGGATTTTTATTTATTTAATCAATTTTAGAATAAGGCTGTAACGTAACAAAATTTGGAAAAAATCAAGGGGTCTGAATACTAATTTTAATTTTATTTGATTGTTTTATTTGATTTGAAAAACTCTAGCTCTGTTGAACGTTGTGGGTCTACCAGCAGAACAACAACCCCAAACACACATCAAAGCACCCTGGAAGGGTTTAAGAAAAAACTTGTGACATGTGAAGAGTCCAGATCTGAATCCTATCCATAATCTATGGCAAGAGCTGAAAACAGCAGTTGGTGGAGGACACCCCTTAATCATTAAATAATTAGAGCAGTTTGCTGCTTAAAAGTGGGCCAAATTGCCAGTAGAAAGGTGCAGCAAGCTCATTGATGGCTACAATAAGCATTTGTTGGCAGTTATCATGGCCAAATGCTGCACAAAAAAGTATTAGCTCCGGGGTGCCAATAATTCTGTCCATGCCATTTGTCTTTATTTTCTAAATTAAAATTGTAAACTTAAGTACACAAAAATACCATTGGACAAATTGGAAAATAAATAGGGAATTATTTAAGAAAATGGAAGGTTGCCAATATATTTGTCCGGCACTGTAAGTTAGCACATAGAAAGACATCTCTCCTACCTGGCATCCTTCCTGTACTGCAGCAGGACAGAATGATGGTCTTCACAGCTGTCTGCCTCACAGCCCACAACAATCTACATACAGCGAGACAGAGAGAGTCACAAGTAAGTTGTGGTGTTCCACAGGGATTGATTCTTGGACCTCTATATTTGTCGTTTATGTTAATGACCTTAAACTGTCAAATGTAGCCATGTTGTAAATAGTAAAAGGTATCACCTTGAACTATAGAATTTAGCCAGTCTATAAGTGGTTAAACAATACCTTGAACTGTAGGATGTATCCAGGCTGCACTATAAGCTCTCGGGTGGCCAGGATGTTGTGTGTTTTGTCCTGGTTCTTGTTGGGCCAATAGAGGTGGAAGGATGGGTTGCCACAAAACCCAGCCGTACGCACCGCGTTGGGATAGAAGCTCCAGCTCTCCTCATGGGACACACCCTCTGAGAGAGAGAGAGAGAGAGAGATCCAGAAGATTTCAGAATTTTATTCAAAAGCGATAAGGGGACTAAAATGGCAAGCTTAAGACACCTTCACAATCAACAACATGACAAAACAGAGGCCAGATTCATCTTTACACTTTCACCTCCCATTCCATGCTAGAGGTGTTTCAGCACAAACGATCTACCATCATCAAAGATGTCCAGCAGGGTGGAGGGGTTGATGTTATTTTATCCTATATTATGTTATGTTATGTTGTGTTTACCGTCATCAAAGGTGTCGAGCAGGGTGGAGGGGTTGATGTCAGACCCTCCCACCAGGATGTTGTCTACAGCCCACTGAGCACGCTCCAGCCCAGGTGACGCCAGATTGGAGGAGACAGAGAAGGGCTGCCACCACCGCAGCCGCGTGGCGTTAGATAGCGCCCCCTCTGGTAGAACGATGTAATCACGCCTTACGGACACGTACTTCAGATAGTCCATCTCATGAAGCAGGGTCCAGGACACACCTGGGGGAAGGCAGAGAGAGAGAGAGAGAGAGAGAGAGAGAGAGGAGAGAGAGAGAGAGAGAGAGAGAGAAGAGAGAGAGCGAGAGAGAGGAGAGGACTAGCTAGCTAGAAGAGAGATGAAGACCGCGACTCATGCCGACTCTGAGAGAAGGGGCAGACGATCTATGATCTCTAGATCTAGATAGAGAGAGCGAGATAGGAGATGTTGGGCATGAATGAAATATCTGGAGAAAAACAATCCTCTATTTTCCATCAGTGTAAATATTATATCTACTATCTACTACAAACTAAACTTTCCATCAGTTTACTACTGTTTAGTACAGTTTATGACAGTTTACCTCCGTCTTTGGAGTAGTCCAGCAGCACTCCCTCTTTGCGACAGGTAGGGCGATGGCACATGGTCATGTTGTCTTCACTCCCTATCCTGGCCCAGTACTCTACAAACCTGATCATAAAACACAGTTCATACAGCCATTAACAGTGGAATACTTAGGCTGGGACTCAAACACAGATAAATGACCTGTGCACAGCAATTTACTTTTACAGGGGATTTCAGCTTGAGACGACATCTGAAGCATTTACAGCGATAGTGATCTCAGCGAACATCTGGGAAAAACTACAGTTGAAGTCGGAAGTCATTAAACTTGTTTTTCAAACACTCCACAAATTTCTTGTTAACAAACTATAGTTTTGGCAAGTCGGTTAGGACATCTACTTTGTGCATGACACAAGTAATTTTTCAAACAATTGTTTACAGAAAGATTATTTCACTTATAATTCAATGTATCACAATTCCAGTGGGTCAGAAGTTTACATACACTAAGTTGACTGTGCCTTTAAACAGCTTGGAAAATTTGAGAAAATGATGTCATGGTTTAGAAGCTTCTGATAGGCTAATTGACATCATTTCAGTCAATTGGCGGTGTACCTGTGGATGTATTTCAAGGCCTACCTTCAAACTCAGTGCCTCTTTGCTTCAAATCATGGGAGAATCAAAAGAAATCAGCCAAGACCTCAGAAAAAAATGTGTAGTCCTATATCGACATAACCTGAAAGGCCGCTCAGCAAGGAAGAAGCCACTGCTCCAAAACCACCATAAAAAGCCAGACTACGGTTGGCAACTGCACATGGGGACAAAGACTGTACTTTTTAGAGAAATGTCCTCTGGTCTGATGAAACAAAAATAGAACTGTTTGGCCATAATGACCATTGTTTGGAGGAAAAAGGGGGTTGCTTGCAAGCCGAAGAACACCATCCCAATCGTGAAGCACGGGGGTGGCAGCATCATGCTGTGGTGGTGCTTTGCTGCAGAAGGGACTGGTGCACTTCACAAAATAGATAGCATCATGAGGAAGGAAAATTATGTGGATATATTGAAGCAACATCTCAAGACATCAGTCAGGAAGTTAAAGCTTGGTCGCAAATGGGTCTTCCAAATGGACATTGACCCCAAGCATACTTTCAAAGTTGTGGCAAAATGGCTTAAGGACAACAAAGTCAAGGTATTGGAGTGGCCATCACAAAGCACTGACCTCAATCCTATAGAACATTTGTGGGCAGAACTGAAAAAGCGTGTGCGAGCAAGGAGGCCTACAAACCTGACTCAGATACACCAGCTCTGTCATGAGGAATGGGCCAAAATTCACCCAACTTATTGTGGGAAGCTTGTGGAAGGCAATCCGAAACGTTTGACCCAAGTTAAACAATTTATAGGCAATGCTACCAAATACTAATTGAGTGTATGTAAACTTCTGACCCACTGGAAATGTGATGAAAGAAATAAAAGCTGAAATAAATCATTCTCTCTACTATTATTCTGACATTTCACATTCTTAAAATAAAGTGGTGATCCTAACTGAGCTAAGACAGGGAATTTTTAATAGGATTAAATGTCAGGAATTGTGAAAAACTGAGTTTAAAGGTATTTGCTAAGGTGTATGTAAACTTCCGACTTCAACTGCATATCTCTTATATCTCTTAGTCCCGTGTAGCTCAGTTGGTAGAGCATGGCGTTTGCAACGCCAGGGTTGTGATTTCGATTCCCACGGGGGGCCAGTATGAAAATGTATGCACTCACTAACTGTAAGTCGCTCTGGATAAGAGCGTCTGCTAAATGACTAATAATGTAAAAGTAGTAGTTGGAACTGAAAGGGAATGTTATAACAAAATCCTCTCTAAATGACAGACTTTTGATCAGTAGAGATACTAACTTGGCTCCTCTGAGGTCGAGGTCAGCGGTGACGGCCTGCCTGGCGTCTGCTCCTCCAAAGTACAAAGCGGTCCCCTCCACCAGAACCCCACAGTCAGTACAGGGATGCCCCCCCTCCAACACCTGCCACTGAGGGCCTGGGGCCCCCTCCCAGTCAAAACGCTCCTTCAGAGATGTCTGGGGAAATAGAATAGATATTTTATTGTCCTTGGAATGTACATTTGGCTTCTGCCCTTTTCCCAACACCCCCTGACACACATAAACGTTCAGAGCCACATAATCCGCCATGGTGCAGAATCCCTAGGTGGAGAGCAATGTAATTGCATTTTGTATTGCATTGTTTTTGCCATGTGTACAAAACAAATGGTCATTCAAGCCGGATAGGGATGCTTTGTATGACATTGTATGAAATGTACTATATAAATGAAGATTGATTAACTGATTGATACCTTGAGTGCAGTGCTGGCATAGCAGCTCGGTCCAGTGAAGCCTGGGTCACAGAGACATCGCTGGTTCAGACAGTCTCCATGTCCCCCACAGTGGCTGTCACACGCTGGCCCAATGTAGAAGTTCTCCACAGCCCACTGGGTATCACTGTGCTGCTGGTAGAACCGGAAACGCACCGCCCTGCAGAACATAACACATAATGTAGGTTTAGAACCGATGTAGAAGTTCTCCACAGCCCACTAGATATCAGAGTGCTGAACCAAAAAAATGCACCACCCTACACACAATACACACAGGATGGTCATAAAGATTAAGATAGGCAAGACTTTTAAATTATCTTCCCTAGGCTGTTTTTAGGGAAGCCTCCTTTCAATTGTAACTTGAGACAGTCTGAATGTCTGAAACCTAGTGAAAGCACTGGAGGTAGCCAGGAGAGAGTGTGCCAGCCAGGTTGAGTATATGTGGGTTTGTGTGCGCATGCTTGCTTACGGACGCTCATGTGTGTACTGTATGTATCAGGCGTGTCACTCACGAGTCTGCCAGGCTGTCCGGTAGGGGGTAGACGGCCCTCTTCCAACCCTGGGCAGGGAAGAAGACACTGGGCTGGGAGATCTGTCCTCCACAGCGGGGGTCAGCAGGGAGACACTGGGGCACCAGGTACCTCCAGGACACACCGAAGTCCACAGAGTACTGGACATGGACCTGCCGCTCTGCATGGCGCTCTGGCACACTGCATCCCACAGCGATCTGTAGAGACACATGGACAGAAACGTTACTTGCACATACACTGTACTTTTGATCACACTATACACGAACACACCAAAACACACACACAGTTTTGTATTGCTATCCTTGTGGGGACCAAATTACTGATTCCCATTCAAAATCCTATTTTCCCTAACCCCTAACCCTAAATCTATCTCTAACCCTAACCCTTAACCTAACCTAACCATAACCTTAAACCTAACCTTAATCCCAAACCCCTAACCCTAAAACTATACCTAACCCTAACTCCTAACCCTAAACATAACCATAACCCGTAATCCCTAACCTTAATTCTAACCCTAATTGTAACCTTAACCCTAAACCTAACCCCTAAACCTAAAATAGCATTTTCCCTCGTGGGGACCGGCAAAATGTCCCCACTTGTCCGAATGTTCCTTGTTTACTATCCTTGTGAGGACTTCTGGTACCCACAAAGATAGTTAAACACACACACACACACACACACACACACACACACACACACACACACACACACACAGACACACACACAGACACACACACACACACACACACACACACACAGACAGACACACACTCCTAGCGGTTAATCTCAGAAGTGGGCAGCAGGTGTGTTCAATGTCAGTCGTGGAGGGCCAAAACACTTCTGGCTTTCATCCTCTCCTAATCAGGGACTGATTCAGACATGGGATACCAGGTGAGTGCAATTAACAACCAGGTAGAAACAAAAACCAGCAGTGTTTCGGCCCTCCAGGACTGGAATTGAACACCCCAAGTCTAGGGGGTAGGAACAGGGATTGTTTCTGGACAGGGCCACACACTCAACCATTTCCACTGTTTTGTACACAATTGTTGTTACCTTGAACTGCATGACCCAGCCTTTGTCTGGGACGATGTCATGTGTGACTGCATACACCTCTCTGCCGTCATCATTACCACACACCATGACTCCGTCTGGAGAGCTACAGAACCTCTGAACCGCACAGTCCTCACTGAACAGCCAGTGGTCACTCACTGAGAGAGAGGGAAGCGGGGGAGGGGGGTCAGAGAAAGGGAAAGAGAAAGGAAGCGGGTGAGAGAGAGAAAGGAAGCGTCTATCACAGCAAACAAAATAAATTTTTTCAAATACCTTATTCAGTTGACCTTATAAGGTTACAGATTCAAAACATTTTCCTTCCTAAAGCAGTTGTATTTGATGCGGGCATTGCTTATTAGCATGAAACCTAATATGAGATGCGCAAACTCCACTCAACAATCATGCATGGGAAGTCAAGTCAGAATTGGGGCCTGTGTGACTGAAAGACCCTCCCCCACATGAGTATGTACCTGTAGTTGTGTATGTATCTGTAGTTGTGTATGTACCTGTAGTTGTGTGTGTACCTGTAGTTGTGTGTGTACCTGTAGTTGTGTGTGTACCTGTAGTTGTGTGTGTACCTGTAGTTGTGTATGTATCTGTAGTTGTGTATGTATCTGTAGTTGTGTATGTATCTGTAGGTGTATGTACCTGTAGTTGTGTATGTACCTGTGGCGGTGTATGTTGTGGTCTCGTCCAGATCCCCTGTGTATATACCTGAGGTGCTCTCCTCCTCTCCCTCATTCAACAGGCCTATCCTGCCCGTGGGGGTACCATCAGCGGGCGCTCTCTCGTGGTTGGGCAGCGCCACCCCTCCGAAGGTGTCAGAGATCTGTGCCCGCAGGTCAGAGCCGGCGATTAGGACGTTATCCAGTGCCCAGTCACTGTGGTCGGCCCCCTCGTGGGTCGGTTGCCACCAGCGCACACGCACACCCTCCTGACGGGCCGCAGGGGGCAGCAGTACGTTGACAAATCTACACACGACACACAGGTTAGGATTGGGAACATCTGATGTGAAAGAAGTGGACAGGTGAAAGCCAATTCCCAGTTATTGTATATCCTATTTTACTATACTTCATTACTTGTAAGTCTATAAATACTCCTACTTTTTTCATGTGTGTTAAGCCTGACGAAGACCTCTGGGTAAGAACATAAACTTTTGGGAGCACTGGGAGTAATCAACAAAGTGTGCAGGGTATCTATTTTTTATAAAAAGACCCACCCAGGCTTGCTGTACAGGTCGTAAAAGATCTCTGTCAACAGGATCCAGTTGATTCCACCATTCAGACTGAACTCCAGTAGTACGCACTGGTTACGGTTGCTAGGCGGGATCATGCAGCCGTACATAAAATAGAACTGGATGAACTCTGCATTTGTCAGGTTCAGATCCACCGTGACCAGCTGACGACTACAACTCTGTTGGAGAGAAAGACAGATACAAGAGAAAACATGGAGGTTAATAAGAAAGACAGATTGATGAAGAGAGCGACACACCAGGTTTGGGCTCAATTTAATTTATGTATTAAAATTAAAATGTAAGTCATTTCAATTCAGGTGATAAAGTGAAAATCAAATTCAAGCCAAAATAGCAGTTTATTTTCAATGAGGAATTTTCTGTTATTAAATTGTAGTGTCAGCTCACTTCCCAAATTGAATTGTAATAAATTCAAACCCGGATATAGATCAATGAATCAATAGATTGATAGGCACTGACCCCGCTGAAGTGCAGTGCAGCCCCAGATGCCACGGCCCCACACACAGTGCTGAGCTTTCCCCCGGTCACCAGGTGCCAGTGGCTGAGAGAGGGGGCCCGGCTGAAACTGTCCTTCAGCTGGGATGGCAAAGGGGCCAAAGGATCATCACAGTACTCGCCTCCCCACTCTGGGTCACACCTACATGGGAGAGGAGAGGGGAGAGAAAGGGGTAAGGAGGTTATTGAATGGTTTCTCAGGTTGCTGTGTGTGACATTGTTGTTACGGATGAAGGGGCTTCACCTTCAACATTGCTATGGAACTTGACATGCTTGTCTGTAACTATTCTAGAATGGCATTCTGAAAGAGTCAAATCCCAGAATGGTATTTCAGGTGTTATTGAAATGTCAGTCACTCACACACAGGAGCTCTGCTGGCAGCGTCCGTGTCCGGAGCACATGTCGGAGCAGCCGTCTCCGATGTAGAGGTTGTCCAGAGCCCAGGTCTGCTGCTTGTCAAATGGAGCCTGCTGGAACCAACGGAACCGCGTGGCTGGAGACCTGCAGATACACGAGAGACAGTGTGAGTGTTTGCATGCATTCCAGTAAACATGTTTTATTGTGTACCAGCAATGTTGTATATGACTGTATGTGTGTCAGTGTGTGTGTAGCAGGGCATTTTAATGACATAATACAACTTGTGCCAACATTTAAAGCTGTTAAAATGTTTAAATGTTTATACAGCGATTTTGAAGAATAACAACCTCGGTTTGGTTTGGCAGTCAAACAACATGTAACTGACCTGGCGTAGGTGGGAATGGGCAGAGTGACTCGGCCCCACTTGTTGTATGTGTCTGCCACCAGCAGTCTTTGTAGGGTGTAGGAGGTGCAATCTGGACTGGTTGGGAGACAGTCACGCACCAGAGGCTGCCAGTGCAGACCCAGGTCCAGAGAATACTCTAGCTCAATGGCTGTGATGGACAAGGGAAAAGAAAGATGCATAAATCAAATTAAATCACATTTGGAAAGTGTCCTTGAGTGGCCCAGCCAGAGCCCAGTCTTGAACCCTGTCGAACATCTCTGGAGAACCCTGAAAATAGCTGTGAAGCGACGCTCCCCATCCATCCTTTCCAAATCATGTCCAATCAATTGAATTAACCACAGGTGGACTTCAATCAAGTTGTAGAAACATGTTAAGGATGATCAATGGAAACAGGATGCACCTGTGCTCAATTTCGAGTCTCATAGCAAAGGGTCTGAATACTTATGTAAATACGTTTATTTTTATACATTTGAAACATTTCTAAAAACCTGTTTTCGCTTCGTCATTATGGGGTATTGTGTGTAGATTGATGAGGGGAAAAAAGAATGTAATCCATTTTAGAATAAGGTCTGAATACTTTCCGAATGCAGTGTATACAAAAGTATGTTGACACATGGCTATTTCAGCCACACCCGTTGCTGACCGGTGTATAAAATCTAGCACACAGCCATGCAATCTCCATAGACAAACATTGGCAGTAGAAGGGCCTTACTGAAGAGCTCAGTGACTTTCAACATGGCACCGTCATAGGATCCCACCTTTCCAACAAGTCAGTTTGTAACATTTCTGCCCTGCTAGAGCTACCCTGGTCAACTGTAAGTGCTGTTATTGTGAAGTGGAAACGTCTAGGAGCAACAACTGCTCAGCCGCGAAGTGGTAGGCTACACAAACTCACAGAACCGGACCGACGAGTGCTGAAGCGCATAGTGCTTAAAAATTGTCTGTCCTCGGTTGCAACACTCACTACCGAGTTCCAAACTGCCTCTGGAAGCAACGTCGCCGCCATTGGACACTGGAGCAGTGGAAACAAGTTCTTTGGAGTGATCACGCTTCACAATCTGGCAGTCCGACTGATGAATCTGGGTTTGGCGGATTGCAGGAGAACGCTACCTGCGCGAATGCATAGTGCCAACTATAATGTTTGGTGGAGGAGGAATAATGGTCTGGGGCTGTTTTTCATGGTTTGGGCTAGGCCCCTTAGTTCCAGGAAAGGGAAATCTTAACGCTACAACGTACAACGACATTCTAGACGATTCTGTGCTTCCAACTTTGTGGCAACAGTTTGGGGAAGGCCCTTTCCTGTTTCAGCATGGCAATGGCCCAGTGCCCAAAACTAGGTCCCTATAGAAATGGTTTGTCGAGATCGGTGTGGAAAAACTTGACTGGCCTGGACAGAGCCCTGACCTCCACCCCATCGAACACCTTTGGGATGAATTGGAATGGTGACTGCGAGCCAGGCCTAGTCGCCCAACATCAGTGCCGACCTCACTAATGATCTTGTGGCTGAATGGAAGCAAATCCCTGCAGCAATGTTTCAACATCTAGTGGAAAGCCTTCCCAGAAGAATAGAGGCTGTTATAGCAGCAAAGGGGGGACCAACTCCATATTAATGCCCATGGTTTTGGAATGAGATGTTTGACGAGCAGGTGTCCACAAACTTTTGGTCATATAGTGTACATTCATACTAACCTAGACAGCATAGCCAGGGAACATATTAATAACAGTGAAAACAGCAATCAATAGCAATCCTGATTACTCACATGCAGTTGAAGTCGGAAGTTTACATACACTTAGGTTGGAGTCATTATAACTCGTTTTTCAACCACTCCACAAATGTCATGTTAACAAACTAAAGTTTTGGCAAGTCGGTTAGGACATCTACTTTGTGCATGACACAAGTAATTTTTCCAACAATTGTTTATAGAGACAGATTATTTCACTTATAATTAACTGTATCACAATTCCAGTGGGTCAGAAGTTTACATACACTAAGTTGACTGTGCCTTTAAACAGCTTGGAAAATTCCAGAAAATGATGTCATGGCTTTAAAAGCTTCTGATAGGCTAATTGACATCATTTGAGTCAATTGGATGTGTAACTGTGGATGTATTTCAAGGCCTACCTTCAAACTCAGTGCCTCTTTGCTTGACATCATGGGAAAATCAAAAGAAATCAGCCAAGACCTCAGAAAAAGAATTGTAGACCTCCACAGGTCTGGTTCATCCTTGGGAGAAATTTCCAAACGCCTGAAGGTACCACGTTCATCTGTACAAACAATAGTACGCAAGTATAAACACCATGGGACAACGCAGCCGTCATACCGCTCAGGAAGGAGACGCGTTCTGTCTCCTAGAGATGAACGTACTTTGGTGCAAATCAATCCCAGAACAACAGCAAAAGACCTTGTGAAGATGCTGGAGGAAACAGGTACAAAACTATCGATATTCACAGTAAAATGAGTCCTATATCGACATAACCTGAAAGGCTGTTCAGCAAGGAAGAAGCCACTGCTCCAAAACCACCATAAAAAAGCCAGACTACGATTTGCAACTGCACATGGGGACAAAGATCGTCCTTTTTGGAGAAATGTCCTCTGGTCTGATGAAACAAAAATAGAACTGTTTGGCCATAATTACCATCGTTATGTTTGGAGGAAAAAGGGGGTCACTTACAAGCCGAAGAACACCATCCCAACCGTGAGGCACGGGGGTGGCAGCATCATGCTGTGGGGGTGCTTTGCTGCAAGAGGGACTGGTGCACTTCACAAAATAGATGGCATCATGAGGAAGGAAAATTATGTGGATATATTCAAGCAACATCTCAAGACATCAGTCAGGAAGTTAAACTTGGTCGCAAATGGGTCTTCCAAATGGACAATGACCCCAAGCATACTTGTTGTGGCAAAATGGCTTAAGGACAACAAAGTCAAGGTATTGGAGTGGCCATCACAAAGCCCTGACCTCAATCCTATAGAACGTTTGTGGGCAGAACAGAAAAGGCGTTTGTGAGCAAGGAGGCCTACAAACCTGACTCAGTTACACCGGCTCTGTCAGGAGGAATGGGCCAAAATTCACCCAACTTATTGTGGGAAGCTTGTGGAAGGCTACCCGAAACGTTTGACTTAAGTTAAACAATTTATAGGCAATGCTACTAAATACTAATTGAGTGTATGTATACTTCTGACCCACTGGGAATGTGATGAAATAAATAAAAGCTGAAATAAATAATTATCTCTACTATTATTCTGACATTTCACGTTCTTAAAATAAAGTGGTGATCCTAACCGAGCTAAAACAGGGAATTTTTACTAGGATTAAATGTCAGGAATTGTGAAAAACTGAGTTTAAATGTATTTGGCTAAGGTGTATGTAAACTTCCGACTTCAACTGTATTTACCAAATGATCTTATAAAACTATTCTCTGACTACTTTGCCAAAATAAATGTAACATTATTTACATTGACAACCTGTCAAAAATATATATTTCTGAGCCTAGTGGCTCACCGTAGCAGGAGTTGGTGACAGAGCACGAAGCTGAGAAGTCAAACTGTATGAAAGCATCCTGTCCCAGGCTGATGTCTGTGGTGACAGCGTAGCGCGTGTTGGACTTCTCTATGAAAGCGAAGGCCGCCCCGTCAGAACCACATACGGGCATGCGGGTACCCCCGGGGTGGAGCAGCCAGGAACGACCGTCCATAGAGGAGAAGTCGTCTTCTAAAGGACCCCAGCCACTGGCACTACCACCCACCACCACCTGGCAGAGTAGAGAGACATAGGTTCATGTCATGTGCGTGATACTGTATATTGATAAAGATGGATGAATGGACAGATGGAAGGATGGATGAATTGATGGATGAACATACAAATAGATAGATGTAGGTAAGGTGTCTCACCTGGTCAATGACCCATGGACTATAGAAGTGTCCGTTCTCAGAGGGCTGCCACCACCGGAGGCGTGTGGAGGAGGTCCGGGCACGCAGAGGGATCTCCAGGGCCACCAGTCGAGCCTGGTTACTGCTGTTGGTGAAGAGGAAGTTGATGATAATTATGATGAAGGTAATAATTTATTGTATCCGTTAGTAAATTATTTTTGCATCATACAGTATGTCAGTACATCACAACACAACATTTACAGTACGGTGATGTACCGTGGGAGTTATGCTAACCTGTTGGAGAAGAGGAAGTCCTGCAGCAGGCCCCAGGTCAGACCACCGTCTACAGAGAACTGGAGCAGGACAGGCTGGGAGCGGGGGTCTGGGGAGGCCTTACCACAGCCCAGACGCAGGAAGAACTGAATAAACCTACAAAAAAGATATATAATTAGAATGCGCATCGATAAATATGTTTACATATATAAATGTGTGTGTGTGTGTGTGTGTGTACGAGTGTCTTTAGAAAATACACTTCATTCTCTTTTTGTCTGTATTCATATGGTTATACTTTGCTCACACATACACATTTTACTATCAATGTGAGGACCATGCCACTGGAAAAGTGAGGACAAGGTTTTCTATTAGGCCCTCAAGGCCCTCAAAATTGTCAAAGACTCCAGCCACCCTAGTCATAGACTGTTCTCTCTGCTACCGCACGGCAAGCGGTACCGGAGTGCCAAGTCTATGTCCAAAAGACTTCTCAACAGCTTCTACCCCCAAGCCATAAGACTCCTGAACAGCTAATCATGGCTACCCGAACTATTTGCACTGCCCCCCCACCCCATCCTTTTTACGCTGCTGCTACTCTGTTAAGTATTTATGCATAGTCACTTTAACTCTACCCACATGTACATATTACCTCAACTACCTCAACTAGCCGGTGCCCCCGCACATTGACTCTGCAACGGTACCCCCCTGTATATATAGCCTCCCTACTGTCACTTTATTTTACTTCTGCTCTTTTTTTCGCAACACTTTTTTTGTTGTTGTTTTATTCTTACTTTTTTTGTTTAAAATAAATGCACTGTTGGTTAAGGGCTGTAAGTAAGCATTTCACTGTAATGTCTGCACCTGTTGTATTCGGCGCATGTGACCAATAAAATTTGATTTGATTTGATTTGATTTGATGTCACCTCAACTCACCACTAGATGGCCTCAGTAACACAGCTATCAGTTAAAAAACTTCAACCATTATGTTAGCTCAACCCCGCCCAACACACACACAGTCACAGGCACACACCAAATGGTACCTGGCGTTGGAAAGGTCCATGTCGTTGGTGACCAGCATGCGAAGGCCGTCCTCGCTGAAGAACAGGTGGTTCCCACTGGACATGATGCCACATTTCCTGCTAGGCTTCCCTCCACTCAGCAGCCTAAACCGCTCAGCATCCACCGCCCCTCCTGTACACACACACAAGGGCAAGCAGGCACGCACACAAGCACGCACGACAAACACACACAAATGAACACACACACACACGGACGCAGACATACACACATAAATAAACATACATAAACCCACATATTATGCATGCACATGCACACACAAAAAGAAGATGGACAGAAATATAATGTAATACTGATAGTACTAACACACACACACACCCTTATGTTATGCACTTCAAGTACTAAATACTGTAGTCAAGCATTGACATTCAAGTACACTAATGATGAAAAAGTGAGCAAATAGACTAATGAGACAATACACTAAAATCTATTTATCACCATGGCTCTAAATAAAAAAATGTCATTGGTAGCACTGGTGCTCTCAACTTAAAAAAGTTAGGAGCATCACATGAAATTTAGAAGCAACAGAAAGGAAGATTTTTTTAATTGATTGAGATATAGGCTATACTGGGCCTATATGAATTCTAGCTACTTTTAAAGTACACGTTGTGCCCTAGAAACTAATATGTAACACTGTTAACACGTTCGTTTACTATAAAAGCAAGTTAAAAGGTTCCGGTTCCGGTGGCATGCATTGAAAACGTGTGGCTTTCTCGAGGCTTTTCTTTTACAAAATAACTATGAATGAACAGATTTATTTTCAAATAAATGTCAACATATAACAATACACTAAGGTGTGGGACGTTCACTGTATTACAAGGAACAATAGCAGGTCTATTTCGCTCCCCCAGCTGGCATATTCTGTCCATCATAATTTACCTGTGGGAACATGGCGGCTCTCAACACCCAACAATAGAAAGAGTTGGCCAATACTATCTGAGAGATTGTTTGTGAGGAAATTACACTACCGTTCAAAAGTTTGGGGTCCCTTAGAAATGTCCTTGTTTTCGAAAGAAAAGCAATTTTTTGTCCATTAAAATAACATCAAATTGATCAGAAATACAGTGTAGACATTGTTAATGTTGTAAATGGCTATTGTAGCTGGAAACGGCTGGTTTTTAATGGAATATATATATAGGCGTACAAAGGCCCATTATCAGCAACCATCAGTCCTGTGTTCCAATGGCACGTTGTGTTTGCTAATCCAAGTTTATCATTTATAAAGGCTAATTGATCATTAGAAAACCCTTTTTCAATTATGTTAGCACAGCTGAAAACTGTTGTGCTGATTAAAGAAGCAATAAAACTGGCCTTCTTGAGACTAGTTGAGTATCTGGAGCATCAGCAATTGTGGGTTCGATTACAGGCTCAAAATGGCCAGAAACAAATAACTTTTTTCTGAAACTCGTCAGTCTATTCTTTTTCTGAGAAAATAAGGCTATTCTATGCGAGAAACTGCCAAGAAACTGAGAATCTCGTACAACGCTGTGTACTACTCCTTTCACAGAACAGCGCAAACTGGCTCTAACCAGAATAGAAAGAGGAGTGGGAGGCCCTGGTGCACAACTGAGCAAGAGGACAAATACATTAGAGTGTCTAGTTTGAGAAACAGGCGTCTCACAGGTCTTCAACTGGAAGCTTCATTAAATAGTTCCCGCAAAACACCAGTCTCAACGTCAACAGTGAAGAGGCGACTCCGGGATGCTGACCTTCTAGACAGATTTGCAAAGAAAAAGCCATATCCCTTAAACAATATAAACTATGCTTTGGCCCTATTATTGCTCACAAAATTGTACTATTATTGGGAATCAAAATGGCATGCCCATACTCCAATATTTCACAATAATGCCTTGCGATCTGGATGGCGGCCTTTTGCATCCTCCCAATGGTCCTGTGGAATCCGTACCCTTACCGATATCATGGACTGTAATGGTTTGAGAACATTCCAAGATTTGAAAGATACATACACATTACGAGGCAACTCCTTTTTTCTATATTTACAATTTAGGTCAGCTATGCTGGCCTATGGAGTCTCTTGGGAAACCCAACTATCGAAACATCCAATGGTGGGATTTACAGTGCCTTCAGAAAGTATTTACTCTCCTTGACTTTTTCCACATTTTGTTGTATTACAAAGTGGGATTAAAATGTATTTAATTTTACACAAAATAATATGTCATGGAAAAATGAAAAAACAAAATATTTTATTTATATTTTTTTTAAGAACAAAAAAAGAAGAATATTTCTTGATTAGATAAGTATTCAACCCCCTGGGTCAATACATGTTAGAATCACCTTTAGCAGCAATTACAGCTGTGAGTCTTTCTGGGTAAGTCTCTAAGAGCTTTCCACACCTGGATTGTACAACATTTTCCAATTATACTTTTCAGAATTCTTCAAGCTCTGTCAAATTGGTTGTTGAACATTTCTAGACAGCCATGTTCAGGTATTGCCATACATTTTCAAGCCGATTTAAGTCAAAATTGTAACTAGGCCACTCAGGAACATTCAATGTCATCTTGGTAAGCAACTCCAGTATTGCTTTGGCCTAGTGTTTTAGGTTATTGTCCTGCTGAAAGGTGAATTCTCCCAGTGTCTGATGGAAAGCAGACTGAACAAGGTTTTCCTCTAGGATTTTGCCTGGGCTTAGTTCCATTCATCTTTTTTTAATCCTGAAAAACTCCCTGGTCTTTAACGATTACAAGCATACCCATAACATGATGCAGCCAACACTATGCTTGAAAATATGAGGAGTGCTACTCAGTAATATGTTGAATTGGATTTGTTCCAAATCTAACGCTTTGTATTCAGGACAATATGTCAATTGCTTTGCCAATTTTTTTGCAGTGTTACTTTAGTGCCTTGTTGTAAACAGGATGCATGTTTCTGAATAGTTTTATTCTGTACAGGCTTCCTTTTTTTCACTCTATCAATTAGGTTAGTATTGTGGACTAACTACAATGTTGTTGATCCATCCTCTGTCTTCTCCTATCACAGCCATTAAACTCTGTAATTGTTTTAAAGTCACCATTGGCCTCATGGTGAAATCCCTGAGCGGTTTCCTTCCTCTCCGGCAACTGAGTTAGGATGGACGGCTGTATATTTGTAGTGACTGGGTATATTGGTACACCATCCAAAGTGTCACTAATAACTTCACCATGCTCAAAGGGATATTCAATATCAGTTTTTTTTTTTTTACCCATCTACCAATAGGTGCCCTTCTTTGCGAGGCATTGGAAAACCTCCCTGGTCTTTGTGGTTGAATCTGTGCTTGAAATTCACTGCTTGACTGAGGGACCTTACAGATAATTGTATGTGTGGGGTACAGAGATGAGGTAGTCATTCAAAAATCTTGTTAAACACTATTATTGCATACGGAGTGAGTACATGCAATTTATTATGTGACTTGTTAAGCACATTTTTACTCCTGAACATATTTAGGCCTGCCATACTTATTGGCTCAAGACATTTCAGCTTTTAATTTTTTATTCATTTGTAAAAAAAAAAAAAAAAAACATTAAAAACATAATTCAACTTTGACATTATGGGGTAGCGTGTGTAGGCCAGTGACAAAACAATCTAAATTCAGGCTGTAACACAACCAAATGTGGAAAAAGTCAAGGGGCGTGAATACTTTCTGAAGGCACTGTTTTGTATGCATGCACTGTGTGAATCAGTAGAATGTATTTACTGTGTTGGAATCCTCCAGTGAAGTCGCTGACCAAGACATTCTGAAACCTGAGTTGTTGACCAGATCAAACCATTTATTTTAAAGTAAAATATCAGCTCTCTGTTAAACATCATGTTTATGCCATATTTGGCAAAGTCGTTTTCACCTGTCAACTCTATAATTATCGGTTGTAGTGACGACTGAGGAACCTTCCGATGTCGACCAATCAAATGTATGGCCAGTTTTTGGCCCACTAAATGTGTGTGAGTTGGCAGCATACACTGAGTATACAAAACATTAAGAACACCTGCTCTTTCCATCATATAGACTGACCAGGTGAATCCAGGTGAAAGCTATGATCCCTTATTGATGTCATTTATTAAATCCACTTCAATCAGTGTAGATGAAGGTGAGGAGACAGGTTAAAGAAGGATTTGTAATTGAGACATGGATTGTGTATGTGTGCCATTTAGAGGGTGAATGGGCAAGACAAAATATTTAACTTCTATGGGATCGGTGTCCCGTATACGGAACGGTTGAGCTAACGTGCACTATTGTGATTAGCATGACTGTTGTAAGTAACAGCAAACTTTCCAGGACATAGACATGTTTTATATGGGCAGAAAGCTTAAGTTCTTGTTAATCTAACTGCATTGTCCAATTTACAGTAGCTATTACAGTGAAAGAATACCATGCTATTGTTTGAGGAGAGTGCACAACAACAAAAAACTTATCACGCAACTGGTTTGATACATTCACCTTTGAAGGTAAATAATGGACTTACATTCAGTAATCTTGCTCTGATTTGTCATCCTGAGGGTCCCAGAGATCAAATGTAGCATAGTTTTGTTTGATATAATCAATTTTCTATATTAAAATGTAGGAACTGGGTTCTACAGTATGAACCCTTGCTGTCTCTGGCTCCACACCCACCCCGCCAGGTGGGTGTGTGAAAGTTAGTGTATAAGCTAATGATCCATCATGTATGACATTTCTGGGAGTGTATAAACTAAAATTTTGTGTTACCATATAATTTTGTATGTTCTCTATAATTATGTACTTGAAAATGTATCAATTGACCAATTCGGCACGTTTCGGCAGACTTGATACAAAATAGTCCAGTATTGCAATGCTTCACTGGATCAATCTGAAACTTTGCACACACACTGCTTCCATCTAGTGGACAAAATCTAAATTGCGCCTAAACTGCAAAATGATATTGTGGCCTTTCTCTTGCATTTCAAAGATGATGGAACAAAAAAACGAAAAGAAAACGCATGTTTTTGTGTTTGTATTATCTTTTACCAGGTCTAATGTGTTATATTCTCCTACATTCATTTCACATTTCCACAAACTTCGAAGTGTTTCCTTTCAAA